TTCCAATGCTTTTGTATCGTATCATACACTAGTCGATGAAAATTTGTCTGCTCTACAAGATGTTATGTTCCTTTTCCACCATATGATCCAAAGCTTTCAATTCTTAGGCCTGCCCGAAATGCTGAGTCAATTGCAGGGTGAATAACGGTCGAGGAAATCCTCGACAGGGGGTCGTATTTGCTCCGATGAGAGTTGGGAGGGGGTCGTAATCAAAACGGTTCATCAACGGACACAACGGTGCTGCTGCCACTTATTTGCTGTCATCATTAGTTTCACAAGTGTTGTACTTAGCCTAATGCAAATAACATCTTACAAGTGGTTGTTGGTTTGGTTCGTAGTGATCAGTATGGCATAGGAAGGCAACGCGTCCTGCAAAAGAATCGTAGGGAAAGGGCAGCGAGTATCTACTCTAGAATGATGCACATGCTTCGAGAACTTAGTGGAGGAACAGCATCTTGGTAGAAAGTTCAAAACAGGCAGATTCGCAGCCTTCTTGGCATTATCAGATCCTGCCACCGCAAGCTGTCATTCATCAGAACGGGTTGGAAAGGAAGCGATTTGAATAAAGGAGTGATCAGACATCACTATGACCACAAAAGTTATTCTAATTAGTTAATACTGGAAATATCTTTTGGTGTGATTAAGCAAGTCGTCACTAGGACAAAACACCTTCCCAATGACTCCGAGTGGGTCACTGCATGGCGCATACAAGAACGGAATGGATCTGCGCCAAGTGCATCATTTTCAATTTACTCCATCGAACTGACGCGTACAGAAGTATTTTGAAGGTGTTCAAAGAAGTTCCCTACTACGGCGAGGGAGTAATAGAGTTTTCGAGTGGCTTCGAAAATTTCCTTGACATTTCCTCGACGCAGATTTCTCGCGAACTAGAAAGCGTTCGAAACAACTGGAGCACCTATCAGAAAGCGTAAATCTTCTACTTTACAACGCTTTCCTCCGATTTTCAAAGCATTGCCAATGAAGACAGCTACTGTCTTCCAAAGAGTGGGAACTCGCATGTAAATTTCAATTTCCTCGACAATTTCTCGACGTCTCCCACTCTCGAGAATAGGCGTGCTTAGAAAAACGCTCAGCACAATTTAGAAACTAGAAGTCTTGTGCATTCAAAAGCTGCCTTCACTTTCTGAAATGGTTATCAATGAAGAAAGTTATAGTCCTTTAAATAGGGGGTACATTTGACGATTTTTCCAACTAGCGCGCTCTAGGCACAGCGCGCGACGCGATCGCGGGTAGTTAGCGCCGCTATACTGGAGCGCGAGACTGTTCAACTGTGTAGGGGCAGTACCTCCTTCAATGTTCTACTTTCCGGCCAATGTGGCAAAGGTTAAATGTCTTTAAAGGAAAGAAGGAGAACCTAATCTGAGCAGAATTGAATCTAGCATTTGGATGGCAGCCGGCGCTGCGTCCCTCTCGCACATCTGAAACTAGCATTTTTTGATATGAAACCGGATGTGCAGAGGACAAAAAGGGGTCGTATCAGAGTCCATGTTTTGGAGGGGGGTCGTAAAGAGGCGGTTATTTCCTCGACACGATTTTCACCCTGGTCCAGTCGACAAAAATTGACCAAACCGACAACTATCTCTAACTTTATCTTCCCTTGGGAGAAATCAATCAATGATGTACCCTCTACTTATGCATGACCTCTTCTAAACATTACACTATTAGGTTTCCCAACAAGTCGCGTCGTTCCATTTCCAGACCTGGTTTTTCAAGCAGAACTATAGGTGATTCTGAGGTGATTCATAAAACGACATAGGAAACGCTGGAGTGGGGAGATGCTTTGTTGGGTAGCTTACAAAAACCGAAAGGGTGAAATAGTTCGGGGAGCCACTCATAATATCTAATCAAAGTGGCAATATCTAATCGAAGTGGAGTTGCGGAAGGGCGGTCATATCTAATCGACATTCAGAGCACAGGCTCTGACAAGGGAAGGATACCAAGTCGAAGTGGCCATTTGTAATGAAACCTATACTCAGAGATGTGTTTTCGGACGCTGATCTCGAATCCGACTCTCCAAATTTGCGAAACGATTCTCTGGACAGAGTTACAAAGGTTGTTGAGACCGGCAGAGCAGGGTTGACAGCAGCAGACTGGCCTAGAGGTAATGCTCGCTGCCTGTGTTGGTGAGACCATGGCTCGAGTCTTGCTGAGCTTGGACGTTTTGCACTTTGTAACTATGATTGCTTTACGTTCAAAAAACTATTCAGTGTTGAAATTTGCACTATGTACAACGTTGTCACGTGTTCAGTCGAGTTCCTTTCAAGCATCAACTATATTCGTCATAATGTTGTGACCATTTATTGTGTCGAAGTGTTCTACATCACGGACGGTACTCATTAATGAGGGAGATGTTATATGCTTGCTCAGCGGGTCCGACTAACCTGAAGACGAACTTTTAAAAACTGACATTCTGAACCAATTTCGCATAGTTGGCCGACAATCAGCCGTTAGTTTTATCCAAGCCAGTAACCCTAGCGGCTGTCCTACCATAGACGGCAGTGAGTGTGTACTCGAAGAAGTACCATCTAATTCTTTGGATAACGCAAGCAAATAAGACAGACATATATATTTTGTTTTGCGAGTAAAACTGAAAGTTTAATTCCATCTCATGATAAGGCTCCGACACTGGGTCAAGGGATAGATATGACTGCCCACACTCTTTTAGGTCAAAATTTTAGATTCGGATCAGAAGTTGTCAAAAGGGGTAGTTTTAACACACTAACACGAAAATCACTTCTGCTTCGCACGAAAGTGCCTATAATGTGCGATATGGCAGTCATTTGCAAATGGCGCGCACACTTGATCGAAGCTCCTCGCTAGCTCCTTACTCTTGTAATAATAGGCGAGTGCTGATAACTTGGCATAGATGAGGTGTCTCCTTAGCAATGTCCTCAGGAAAAGCAAAAGTCAAGAACTCGCCGATTCGATCCTCACGACCTCTTTCCCCGGGCGCAATCCGCTGCCACTGCACTATCTCGCTTCATAACTACGTTCAGAGAATCGTTCCGCAGATTTGGAGAGCAGATTCGAGATCAGCGTCCAAAAACACATCTAGTGGTGTATGTCTCGTTACAAATGGCCACTTCGACCTGGTATCCTTCCCTTGTAAGACAGAAGTTGACTACTCAGGGGATTCAGTTAGGTCCTTACATCAAATTTGAGCTATATTACTAAATTTCTGAATGTGTCAAATGTGAAAAAAGTGTTGACTACCCCAAGGTTTTGTAGTGGGCACTCAATAGTAAGCGTTTTATAGTTAATCCGAGATGTACAGTAGCGGTCAAAAGTTTGGAAACTTTTTATCTAGCGTAGCCGATAGGCAATGAAATCGTCCCGAATTCACATATTAAAGAATCAAGTGTTGATTACGATGAGCAACATCAGTTTTTAAACCGAAGACCGCAAACAGCTCTCGAGTCTACATGATAAATAAGTATTCGATATGAATCTGTGACTTTCTAAGTCGGCACCGTTTTTATTGGCATGGAGTTGATTAGAAAACAATTTGAGGACTTCGGTCGAACCCTACAGACTGTGAACTTAATCACATTGTTTGGTGGGATTCTTAACTGGAATGTGGGTAGAGCGACATGCCACTTTCTTCCGTGAGATGTAGAACTCAATTAGACTTCAGATCTTGACTTGGTCGCTTCATAGCAGCTCCTTTTTCTGGGTTGAGGAAGGCGGCAGTGGAGGAGGTAGGACCTGCATCGGGTCATTTCCGTAAAAGAAAACCCATCTTTTTCCGGCTAGTTCCTGACTATCAAAGGGAAGCATTGTATTCTATGGCTTAACCCGCAATCCACATTTCGCTGGATATATGGAACTGGGGTATCGCCGGATGGTCGGAAACATCTTCATCCATGGACAATTCTTTACCCACTTCTGACTGTTAGAATCTCGTACTCAAAATGAGGTCCCCATTTGACATAACGCTTCACAGGATCCGCAACATCGTTTTTAGAAGACAGAAATCCATTCGTCGCTGAGGACAAAGTTTTACCTGTCGCCTTTCGGTCCATGTTAGCCGTTAGTGTGCGGAAGCCAGTTGGGCCATCCTGCTCTTGAAGCCCAACAATGGCTTCTTGTTGGGACATCATCCGTAATATTCACCAGGTCGCGGCCGATGTTGAGCTTTCCATCTTTCATATGATTAGGAAAAAATCAGAAAAAGTCGTCTCTTAGTTGAAGATGTCGGTATGACGGTCGTGCCAACCACCCTTTGGAGTATTTGAAGCGGGCCAGTTTTCTAATTAGGATACTTTTTGTGAGTGATCATTCTTCTTAGGCTAACTATGACTCAAATGAAACATTCGATAGTATTGCTTCCGTAGAGAATGAACTACTAAGAAACAATTTCAATTTCGTATTCCGGATTGTAGGGTTTAAAAAAACCTCCCATGGAAAAACTGCTTCCTTTGCATATGAATTCATTTTGAAATTACACATTGCTCAATGGTTAACTAAAATTAACAGAAACAAGTGAACATTGAAGAGTAGGAATCATAATGATAAGGGAAACAAAAAGTTTCCCAAACTTTTGACGCGCCATTACTTGAAAAAAATCTTATTTCTCAAATATGATTGTAGATTTTTGGAAATTGTTCTTCCCTCGTATTCTGAACTCGATTTTGTCATGTAATATCTGAATTTGAGACAACTTCGTTATGTATCTGCCGCGTCAGATCATCAAGAATAAAAAAGTTTCCAAACTTTTTACCCCCTCATACTGTATTACAGAGCGTGAAGAAAGGAAAATGGAACTGAAGGGAATCGGGAAAAGTGGATATGGCTGCGTGAACACACTGTCAACATCATTTGGACCACCCTGTACTTCAAATAGAATCGAATAAAATGAATAGGAATGCAGGTGACAAACTGCTATGAAGCATTGCTCAAATAGCCATAAAATAGGCAGTAGGGGTATAAAAGGTGCCACGGTCGGCAGTTTACCATCACACTGAAATCCCAAACAAATCATGGAACGTTTCCTTTCTGTTCTCATCGTTATTGGAGTCACCCTGGTAGGTTCATGTGATGCCTTACTCTTTCAGCGACGAGTTGTTTGCTTAAACAATTTCTAAGAGCTTAATAGAGATAGGACGGAAAAGAAACAAAATTTTCGTTCTTCTTATCCAGAATTTTTCAAAGGCCTGCCATCCGGTGCCAGAACCAAAAAAGCATGGATTTGGGAACCATACATCGGACGTCACACTAGTCACCCAGGCTCGCTACGATCCGAATCTAATCCAGCATTTCATGAATACTTCCCACAGATGGATGTAAGTAGAGACACATTTCACTAAACCAAGACATTCCAGCCCTCAAGAATTGCTTCAGATCGAGCAGCGCTCTAAGAAACTAGGAAAGTTCACCGATCTGGGTTCGGCGGACGTTGGAGGCAAATTCGCATTCACTTTCAAACTCCTTAATTCCGACTGTGAGAAGGTCGTGGATGGTTCTTCAACGTTTTTGTAGCTTACAATACCTGTTACTCTATTCAGTGACATTTTAAGGTCTCTCATTGGCTGGACGATATCAAGAAGTCAGAGTCGGTAATCACGAGCACCTCCATGAAGTGCATTGGACAACAGCAGTAACGGCAACAGTAATGGGAAAGCCACGAGCTACGGATCAAACATTTCTTCGTGGAAAAAACTCGAATAAATTTTTTGATGACAATTTTAGTTCTGTCTGGCGATGTGTTCTTGAAGGGCGGAAGCAGTGTTGTGAAAAAGTGCCGCCGCTTTCACACACACGCTCCGCGGACCGAGTCCTGGGTTATACACCTTCTGGGCCAAGCAAGCCTTTCATACCTCCAGGGTCACCAGTCAGTAGCCTACTTGTCCAAGAGAACAAAAACACGATCTTGTACATCACCTAGCTCACGCAGGTCATGTGGAGCAATTACATACATTCAAATTGCAGCTACAATCCTGAATGGAACTAGAAGACGTGCTGCATCCAGAAATGGACTGTCCGACGCTGCTCGTCTTATTTTCATTTATTAATAAAAAAAACTGCCAGACAGGGTCAACAGTCACATACTCACTTTTTCGAGATGGTCTCCCCTTCTAAAAGGTGCAGCTAAGACCGCTGTTGCTGTTCATCGTTTTTGTGCACGTTAAGATAGCTAACAGTGACTGATTCGCCAGAGTGACGAACCGCATAACAAATGAAAAACCGATGCCAATCACCAGTTTCGAGAGATGTTATAAATATTAGGTCGGTCCATAAGTCTTGCAACAAACTACATTTAATGCTATAGAATTTTAGGGAGAACTCCTGAAAATCCGCAACATATTTCCTGACGTAGCATCAACCTTTGCAATTTCAGCCAACGGTCCAGCTCGTTGTCTGCTTACTTATTATGGATATTACACCAATTTCGCGAGAGGTTTATTTCAACAGTAATATTGTTCGTCATGTTCAGTTCTCTTCCGCAGGTACACGTAGCTTTCTACTCTCTCTAGAGCTTTTCCCGCCAGTTTTACTGTACCTGTATCACACCACTGATTTACCATCATTTGCGTTTTTGACATGTTCATTTCCAAGCCGATCTTCAGGCCTTCCACATTGAGTTCGTTGACCATTCTCTTCCATTTCGATTGTGTTGTTAGATATCAATCCCATTGATGAGGCATCCTTTGTCTTCCCAATTAAGGTTTGACATCGCGTACTGTAATGCAGCCGTGAATAACTTTGGTGATATCGTATCACCTTGCCGTACTCCTTTCTGAATAGGGATCTTTATCTTTCGCTCGAACAGCTGGATAGTTGTTGTTGTATTTGAGAAGCATTGTTCGAGCAGTTGGATGTAGGCAGGGGGAGCTCCGGCTTGTATGAGAGCATTCAGAACAGCATTGACCTCCACAGAATCGAATGCTTCAACAAAGACAAGGACCTAATGGAAGGTGATATTCGTGGCTCCTTTCAATAAGCTGAGTGACCGCTTGTACGTTATCCATACATGAGAAGTTCTTTCTGAACCCTGTCTGCTCCACTGGCTGGTATTCGTCCAAGATGCGTTCCATGCGATTGAGCAGTATTTTTGTGAACGATTTGTATACCACCGAGAGAAGGCTGATAGGTCTGGGTCTGTAGTTGGCGATATCTTCTCGCTGGCCTTTTTTAAACAGTAGAACGGTTCTCGATCCTTTCCACTGTTCCGGAATTTCTCATAGCTTGAGGTAGTGGTTGAAGTGTCTGGCGAGGAGAGCATGGAGAGAGCTGTA